TTGTGGATTGCCACCAGTTCCTGATTTAGGTTGGGCAACAATATCAAAGGAGGTCATAGCTTTCGGTCCAGTTGTATTGTTAGTATTCGTAACAAAATCACCATCATTTGTTTCAGATAGAATTGTTTGCATAGCTGCGCTCAAATCATCATTTATGGTTGAATTCGGTGAAGCTTGGCTGCTTGCCTGTTGTGTTTGCTGTGCTTGTAACTTGGAAGCTGATACAGATTTATTAACTTTTTGCCCAGGATTCAAAGCTTTCGTACGTGGTCGTCCTAATAATAAAAAAAACACAATTATAAAATTAGTGAATGAATTTGTTACATCAAAATATTATATATATTTTTATTTTACCCCTACGCTTCGGGAGCATAGGATCTGTTGTTGATTTATCTATTCTTGATTTGGCTAGTCTTGTTTTTCTTGAACGTTTTAATGATTTAACGCCTGGTTTATCCAATTTTGAGTTTTGAATTATAATTTAAGAAATTTGCGTTTGGAGAATATATGCAAAATAAACAAAAATTTGTATATATCACATTACACATATTTTTTTTTAAATCAATAAAAGATTGACTGGGTAACAATAACTGTAGACTATAGTCATAATATATATTGAAATATAATATAGTAAAAATTTATATTGAAATATAATATAGTCAAAATATATATTAAAATATAATATATTAAAATTTTATATTGAAATATAACATAGTCAAAATATATATTAAAATATAATAGTGAAAATGTATATTAAAATATAATATAGTCAAAATATATATTAATATAATATAGTCAAAATATATATTGAAATATAATAAAGTCAAAATATATATTATAATATAATATAGTCAAAATATTGGTAAAAAAAAGGAATATAATTCTTACAAATAATTTAAAAAGTTGTATATAATTTAAATAAATCATCAATTAGCCTGTTCAAAAATATCTAAATAAAATTTGCTCATTAAAACAATAAATTATATTAAATGCAACAAAATAGGTTGTGAGAGAGTGATTAGAATACTGACTTAATCCATTATTAAATAGTTTTTAATAACTATTTTTATATTGTTAATGAAACATTTTACATTAAGAAATAATTATAATTTCTGTCTATTGTAAATATGTATAGAGGGCTGAGTCTTAAATATACACCATTTGCTCATAGATGAACATTGCATCTTATTATCAGGGCTATAGCTTTATTATTATAGCTATGACTAACAATTTTAATGTAAAGATTAGATATTAAATTCGTAATATAATAGTCGTGTAATTGATAATTGAAGGTTTCTTGCCATTTTTCTATTTGTTAAATGGTATTTGTTATTCTATTAGTATTTGTTATACTATATAAATGTTATTGTATAGTAGTTAGTATGGTATATTATACAATATATTATTGCACTACTATTGTATATAAATATATAAATTGCAATATCTTTTATCTAATTTAATTCTATTATTTCATAATCGTGTATTTACCATATTTTGTTTTTAATTGCGCTAATTTTTCATCGTCATCAATTGGTTCTGCTTTTCGCTTACGTTGTCCTGTATTTACTTTTGTACCAGAATTCTCTCCATTTGAAACTTTTCCCTTTAACGTAGTGGCAATACCAATTGGTGTTGGTTGACGTGGACCAGGACGATTATTTAAAGTTTTATTAACAAAATCGTACATTTCTTTCTGTAAATCATATTATATCAACATTAAACAAATACATTTTTTTTTTATTAATTTTATATACTTACTACAATCATTGAGTCTACTGTAGCTTGTGTAACATTTTCAATTTTACGACGTATTTTAGGCACACGCAATGAATCATCAGCACTACCAACGACTACTACAGCAGATTCAGATTGCAATTTTTCACGTAAATGTTCCATCTCCTCAGTGCTGCAAATGTTTATATTATGATTAAATATCTAATCTTTTGAAAAAATATTAAGTATATTATATAAAAACTTTACTTATTAAATAAATAACGTATTATAATTTAATATATTACCTTGTTTTGGCGGAATTTTGTCCAATTACAAAAAGTATTGGAACTTTTATATCTAAAATGCGATCATCAGGCATACCGCGTACACCATTCAATGTATGAAAGGCAAAGCCCATACATATAACACATGCAATATTCTCAGACATTGCTACCTGCAAGGCAAGAGCTGAACCAGCATTAAAACCTATTAATATAATGCTACGAGCGGAATTATCACTACGTAGATCTTGTATTTTGACCCGTGTTAATGACACTACTTTTTCAGCAAGCTGCTCCAAAGGATCACGTTTAATAATATCATCTAAAAAAAATAAAATAATCAATTATTATTATACATTAATTTAAATTTTGTAATCCAGTTTTTAAGACTTACTCATAACTGGTAGTGTTATATGTACGATTTCTGCAATAGTTCCCAAATAGTCATACCATTTTTGTATACGTTTTGGCACAACTCCATTACTAGTTATTGTTGGTACTGTCACTATTACAGCATTATGATTTAGTTTACGTTCAATATTTATAACCATTGGTTCCCATTTCTTCTTCAGAACAGGTGCCATAAGCTCTTTAGCCATACTTATGGGGCGACCAAATATCATTTTGTCCACTAATGTGGGCAATTTCTGATGCAGTGTTTGTAATATATCTAAATAAGAAGCCATATATGAAGTTGGCAAATGTTCCATTAAAACTGCATGCAACCATTGAATCAAACGTGCTTCCCACGAAATTGATGCAAGAAGTTTTCGCATACTACTTGATGATTTATCAATTAATACTCGTCTTTGCATCGGTTCATTTGGTATATTAGCATTCGCAAGTCGACCGAGTTGATCATTATCTAGTATTAATGCAACTCTTTTAAAAAGTGTCTTCTGTGTGAAGGTCCAACCGGTTCTGTTGAAAAAAAAAAATAAATTAATATTAACAAATTCACTACAAATATATAAACGTATTATAAAAATTTTGAATATGCAAAATTGTTGGAAGTTAACATTTGTAGTCACTCGCTGGGACCTGCTTGTGAATTCCATTTGGGAAAAATGTGAGAAATTTTTTTCATTGCGTTAACAATGGGAGAGCTATACTCTTAAGGATGAGTTAGGTTGAAAAATAGAGCCTTAAACGTAACGTATCTATCTATTATAGATACAAGAAATATTATTTTGTATGATTTAGTAATTTGAAGTACTGCATTAGTAAAGGACAATAAAGCTTATCCTTCAGCTGTGAAACTCGAAAATCTCTATATTTAGAGCTAGTATTATAACATTTCATATTTATGTTATATATGTAGCAGATAAAACTTTACAATAACATTATTCAATTTAAATATATATATTGGGCCTTCACTTGCAAATGTGTCCAAATATGTGCTTTATATGCTCAAATATAACATATTTTAACAATATATAATCTAATATATAAATTCCTGCCATTATAAATGATTATTAAAACCAACTACAAATTTTAAGCTATAGCGAAGCAGCTGTTATTATTGCTGTAACCCACAGAGACGTGGTTGTGTAGTCCCTTTCAGATATGGCGAACGTGACATGGTCGTCAAACTCGACGAATGGCTCTGAGACGTTACCTGGCCGTTCTTGGAATTTTAGAGCAGCTCCTCTTGGAATTTCATTGTTTACAAACGAACGATACTCAAGCATTTTATAAGAAGAGTACGACAACTAATTACTGTCAATATAATCATAATATACCTAATCCACAAATGCACAGAAAATCCATATAAGTAATTAAAAATGGCATATTATAAATATATCTGATACAATAAGTATGTATTACTTACTGATTAACATATGGTTCCCAATCCTCATCATCTTTATTATTGTTTTGAACGTAGCTTGCAACCCGAGCACATTCATTCATAGCTTCTTTAGCGGGAATTTCATGAAAACCAGGAACTTCCACTTGACTTCCATCGTTAAAATCATGTTCATCTAATGGATGCGTATGGCAGGAAGGACACTGTGGTGGCCGACGTACAAGTATGGTACGCGCCGCTGATAAACCAGTTGTCAACTCAGGTATGGTACGCGCTGCATCACGCGTATAACTGTGTTCCATTTTTGCTTCAACGCAAGGAGCTGATGATGGCACTGGTTGCTAAAAATAAAAACACAATAAATTAAAAATAAAACTAAACAAAAAGGTAAATATACACATATACACATATAAGCAAATATATTGAAGTTAGGTACAAAATGAGCATTCACACAAAGGACCAATACAATAAGCTGTTCGAAGGTGAGATGATATGAAGAGTTTGCTATTTTTGTTATGTACAGAAATTTAGTTTTATTATTGACGGTTATGTTATATAAAGTGCTTTTGCATGCAATATCAAGAAGAAATATTAGTTCAACGAAAATTGTTACACCAGATCCCATTTTATATATAACTGTATTCTTGTACCCTGTACTGATGCATGCCTGCACTTCATCAAAATGTTAAGGATGAAAACAAAACTATAAACGGCGTCGTTTGTTTTTTTTTAATGTTTTTATTTCTACCCCACACACTTCACAAACACGATTTTTTTTATTTTACAATATCGTTCCCTTTTATGCTAACACTGTATGTGACTATTCAATTTATGCCAATATAATGCGTATTTGTTATATGTTTAAATATTTTATTAGTTTAGCGAAAACTTAATTTTTTTAAATATTTTTTCCATACAATTTAATGAAGTTAATTTGCAAACTTTTTAATACGAAAAACATTAGCACATATTTTTATGTTCTTTTTCATATCAATATGGCGTCACACACTACTTAAAAAGCATTGCCAGAACTACATTTTTTATAAATATCATAAAGCACTTGTGATATTAAATATGTACATGCTTAATATGGTTACTCACATATAAATATTTTCAATGTTATCAAAACTTATGAAAATAAATATAATATTAAAAACATATAAATAATATTTACATATTAATTTAAGAATGTAATTATAAGATAAATATATTATATATTCTTTTATAGATATATTATACATATGTATTTAGAATTATATTTATTATTATAAATTTTTATATTATAACAAAAAAAAATATATATATATATAAAAAACTATATAAATTTATATATATATGAATATGTTTAATAATTAAATAAAACAAACGGAAATCAATATACAGATACAAACAACTATATTGCAGTTACGTATTCATAATAATATAGGAAATATACTGCGAAATATTCAAGAAAATGCTTTAAATCTCTTTCGAAAATATTATTTAAACCGGCTATGGGCTAATTAAATATAAATATATATATATATATCTTTTATATATATTTTTTAAATTGAATAAAACTTTTAATATTGAAGACGAAAATGAAAACAATATATAATAATCTTTTAAAATTATGATTAACATGAGCAAACATTACTTACAAATTATTTTATTTTAAAATTCTAATTAAAAATGTTAAAATAAATAAAGATTTTGGATTAATTAATTTAAAAACAACTTTGACGTTATTATTAGTACTAAATTGTTAATATGTGGCTTTTTAACAAACAAATTAAAAATTGATAATTTTATCTACATTAATATTTTTAACTACATCTTAATCTATTCACAAACTTTTCATGGCGTCCTATGATTAGTTTCGGTATTAAAACAAAAAAAAATTATATGAACTTAAATTAATTTTATATGTATATGAAATATTATTGTGTAAAGTTAATTTATTTTTTATGTTAATATGCAACTGTGTATTTTATTAAATCCCATGTGACATATTTTGTACTCGGACAGAGTTTAAATTTAATATATATTATAACGTTTTGAAATTGACACAAAAAAAAATTATTTATTGTACATACTATAAATAATCTCGTCTTCTGCTACGATGAGAAGACATAAATTTCCGATTTATGCTAAAACAAAAACATAGTTGATATGCGCGTAAAATGGACATGGACAGATGGCAATGAATAAACTATAGTTAATAGAGACATGGCTAAAGGAACTCTATGCATAAGAGATAATGCATATGCAAAATGTCATGTTTTTTTTTTTTAATATCATGACAGTTATTTTTTATAACAAATATACATATTTTTAAGTAAAATAACATGAATGAATGTATATACTATTACAAATAAAGAGTTTTGTAAGCGGTTGATATAGTAACAGTGGTACATCACAACACAGCGCGTATCGAGTAACAGTAACGCAGTTTTTGTTGATATTTGTACTAATAGAATTCATGACATTTTAAATATTTGAAACTAGTTATTTTCTTTAGTTCAGTATTAAATAAAGCTTGCAAATTAATTTCAGACATTCTAAAAATTTTTCCAGTCTTAATTTATTTCCTATAGGGTATTTTTAAATGCACTTGTAAATTTTATTATAATAATAAAATGCATTGTATTAAGAAATTTGACAATTTAATAAAATAATTTTTTGTACTGAAGCTTTTAACAAATTATATCATTTCTAGTCCTCAGTGAATTTAAGCAAAAATATATTTAGAAAATAACATAAATACTAATATTTTGATTAAAATAATTTACACCAACCACTGACTATGAAAACATTAAATGTTGCCTACTGAATTACATTATTTTTATTTTTTAGCAATACAGTTATGAAAATTGTTTCAGTAATTAACTAAATTATTATTTTTTATCAACAAAATTCTACAATATGGTACAACAAATGGACTTATAAAAAATATTATTTCAACAAATGCTTTTTACCAGCAAAAGTATGATAAATTTATATTATATATATGTACATATGTGAAATCAGAATTTACACAGCATTTATGATACAAACAACCATACATGTGATATATGTATGAATGTAAATACATATTTCATACATTCCACAATCATTTAAATTATAAGTCCTTAGGTATAATATAAGTTTAATTAATGCTTTTTTATTAGATTCACTCATCATAATGAGGAATGGAGAGTAATGATGAATTTCATCGCAGGTACTTGCAAATTTATGAAAGAAAGCTTTAAGAATGTATTAAAAATCATGAACATTAAATTTTTAATTCTAATATTAAGCAATTATTATTTACCATGTTTTCTGTAGGATTTTCTTCGATTTCTTCTTCCTGTGATCCAGCGCGGCTTTTTACGTCGTTCTCTTTTTGCTGCAGGAAATCTTCAAACAATTTAATGTATGAACTCATCTTAGCATTTAAAAGGTCAAAATTTCAAGATATTTCTCATAAGATTTGTATTAAACCGCCAAAAATATAAAACCATATATCTCAACTATTATTTAAGCAAATTTTACATATTATTCTAAACGAAATTATAAAAATACTTCCGATGTAAAATACCTCGCGCGACAATGTATGAATCGAAATGTCAAAATGTATGCTAGCAACAAAACTCTGACAATATCTACAATAAACGCATTTTGACGAAATACATTTGAATTTACAATATTTTATTTTATTATAACACAATATTATTGATAATTTTCATCGCTTTAAGTAACATATAAAATATATTAATTGTTAACATTCACAGTTTTATTAAAAAAATATATAAAAGCCAAGAAAAAATTTTCTTAGTGCGACAGCTGTCAGAAAAAGTGTCGAAAACGAATTGAATAAAGTATTATACACGTACAGTACGGTGTAAAATCAAAATTTAAACTCTTATAAAATTCTAAATGCATACATTTCACACAAACTATACATTAAAGTAATAAATAAAAGTATAATTAAGATATATATATTTTATACATAATAATATAATAAATAGCATTTTGTCCAATTAGTTCCTTTTAGGAATAAAATAAAATATACATTGATAAAAATTAATTATATACACTCATATGTATGTTTCTATTTATATATGTATGTTAATTTTTTTAAAGTATTTTCAGCAGTACCTGAGTACAATATAAATGAATCTTTGTGTTAAGTAAAAAAAATTTTTAAGGACTTGTGGAATTGTGGTGAATACATAGTACTTGTTATTATTGCACCCATGATAAATCAACGCTCTATAAAGATTTCTTATCATAAACAAATTATCTATCGAAAACAACCACTGGTATAGCTAGAAGTAGCAGACATATTCGCTAACCGTATGCCCATTGATCTTAGAGTTTAGTTAAGTTTAATCTGCCTGGCCACGCATAGACTTAGTAGCTAATGCACTCTCGAAGCATTCTTATTTCAAAAGCTCAAACCCGTTGCATTTGAACTGACGAGATTCCAGAGCAAATAGGAAATGAGTATACAAAGAGTGGTTTTATTAACGAGTTAAACATCTTTGTTTCGAATTTAGGAAGTGGTTAAAGCTCCATTTCAGAGACAGTGCCACCTAACAATTTTTAAATGTGTTATTCGATCAGATCTATCGTCTATAGAATCCAATAACTACCAGGTCAGATATGTTTTTCTGTTGCTTATATGTTTTTTATTTATTTTAATATTATTGCAGTATAGATAAAAGAAACGTTAGAACTTGTAAAGCAGTTTACAAGTAATCTAGAAAAAATAAACAATAACAGGTTAATAAATAACCAAATAAATAACTGTTTGCTGCAATTCTCTGATCGACATTAATATAATTTACTATTGAAAAAATTGAATCTGTGGTTAACAAAAAAACATGTTCATAAATAATTAAAAAATTTAATTTCAAATTTTTTTATACATACTAAAAGCTAATTTTAGATTTATGTAAATACCAAAAATTTCACAGCACAATAATTAATTTCTAATGAACCTACATTTAATATGCTTTTAATTTTCTCCTCTTACTTATTATTCATCTCGTTGTATGAGTAACTTAAGGTGTATTGAGTTGTGTCATGCCATAAATATGATATTAAATAGTTTAAGTATTTTCAACTTAAACCCAAATACGCAAGGTTCAAAGAATATACTTATAAAAACAAAAAATTGATAAACTCTTTAACCAAAACAAAAAATTTTGTTTTACAAACCGCCATAGTTTTTTTTCCAACAAAGAGAAACTTTAATATGTTGGATTACACAAGTGTGGTGAGTATTTCGTTTAGTGGCTAAAAGGACATTATTACAAAAGTGACTGCACAGTTGAGAAATAAACTTTATTAAAAGCAGTCAAATAAACGGGCAGTATTACTATTAACATTTTTCTGAGAATTACACAAGAGCTGCTGGCTAAAAGAAGTTCTTTTTAGAATTGTAAATTATTTTTTATTCAATATAAAAATAATATTAAACCAAAAGTTGCGTTTGAAGTCAATAAATTGCATTTTTTTTGGAATTTAGCAATAATTGCTAAAACCAAAATACGGTTTTCATAAAAAATTATTGATAAATATTTAAAATTATAAAATCTTAAATTTATAAGATTTAAGAAATTAGTTTATAATAATTTATTTTTGGTGCTCAAAAAGAAATCAAACAATTTTATAAGAGCTATCAACGAAAGCGAAATATTTTATAAAAGAATCTTTTAACAAACGTTAGGAAAATTTTTGCTTTGTGATTTCTACGTTTATTGATTTGTAACATAAATTTATTGTACTTGACAAGAAAGCATTCAGCATAAAAACGGGGTAGTGCAGAGTGCAGCCCTACATCTCGAAAAAGTGAAAAGAGTACAAATTCAGTGGAGAGCAAGTGCAATAATACTAAACAAAAATTAGTTGCCATAACACGATAAAGAAGAAAACTTATTTGCGGCAAATATTGCAAACAATCGGAAAACACTGTATCTCATTAACTTCAAATATTTTTGAATTTTACTTGATAATTCTTAATGTAAAAAAAAAGCTTCAACAGCTGCATTAAACCACTTCGCAGAAATTGCGGAGATAGTCAACTATCTACAAGAAATCTATAAATTTGGAAAGAAAAGTAAAAGGATTTTTATATATACTTCTGTGTTTAAATTTACATAGATATTTCATTAAATTTTAATTTTTAAAACCTTAACGAGATTTTTATTAACCGCAATTAAAAACACAAATTTTTCTCAAAATTTACAAAAACAATTCGCGCTTCAAAATGTCACCATAAATATTCAACTTAAAGACTTTTTTCTACCAAACTGCAAAAAAAAAGCTTGCATATTTTTGCACAATTTTTTATGTTTTCCGTTTTTATTTAATTATTCAAATATATACTGTTTAATCGTGTGTAATTTAAGTGCCAAATAAACAAGTAATTAAGAACTTTTTAGAAAAAATATTTTTTTTTATTGAGCAACGTTCGCTTTTCTTGGCGTCCGTCTGTGACTTCGCCTTGCTTCCACAGCAAAACAACAGATAATTTCATTTTTGAACGAATTTAACACGATTCAACGCTTTACAATTCCGCTTAATTCAGCGCTTACGGAGCTATTTTCCAACATAAAAAGAAGCAGAATTAAACCAATGCATTTAGGTTTTAAACGTCAAAAACATCAAAAAAGATTTCCGATTAGTAAAAAATGTCTTTACCCCGAGCATGGAATTTACAGGTGCGTAACTGTTAAGTTGAAAGTAGTCAACATCATATACTAAATTTTTTAAATCAAATTATATGAATTTTATACATACTATACTATATAAGTAAACTCCTGCACCACATATAAAACAACATCAATATTGTTGCAAGTTTTTGTTTTTTTATTTTTGCACATAGTTTTTTAAATTATTTTATCACTTCTTGACTTTTCATACTTCTTAAAAACACTTTTTCTATTAAAAAACACTACCGAATGTATAATTAATAAATAATTAATATCTACGAACTTGAAATTACCTCTGTAATTAAATACAAATTAAGTTCAAATATGGATTTAGTGATTTAGCCAAAGTTGTGCCAAAAATTTTGTATTATTAATTATTTTTAATTCAAAATAAAAGATTTTTAAAGTTGGTTTCAGTTGGCTAACGTTTGAGGCTTACATTTATTAGTGATCCACTTGATTTAGAGAATTTCAAGAACCTCAAGAGTATCTGTCACGAAAGCGTTCATAAGTAGACATTTTTAGAGATGAATTCAGTTGGCTAACGTCTTAGGTTTATATTTATTAGAGATCCAGCCAACATGTCCACATTTTTCACGAGTATGTGCTATGAAAACATTCAAAATCAGACATTTTTAGAGATAGTTTCAGTTGGCTAACATAAAAGTCTTAATTTTTAAGTGAGTCTTTTGTTTTTAAGTTTCTTTTCAAGATGTAGAGTTAATGTGATGGACTTAGAGTACTTAAAACATGAAACCATGACTGTAGTTACACGATTTCAAGTATTTAAGTTCAGTAGCATATAAATACATATTTTTTTTCTAATATTTTGTTCCTCAAATACGTTTAATCAATTTTCTGACTTGATAAATAATGCACAATTACTTGCTAAATGTTCACTTTGCTATAATAAATGAAACAAGATCCAATACGACATTTTTTACTGATATTCCGAATCTTAATATTAAGGTTCCTAAACGCAAGTTTCGATGCAATTTTTTTTATATATTAAAGTTATATTCACAATCTGTCCATTGAGAATACAATATTGGATATTATTGTACATCTAGACTATTACTTTATAAGCTAATCCATTAAATGGCACGTTATTTGTCACGTTATCAATCAAATTATTATTGAATTTTTAAACTAGTTTCAAAGTATATTATTTTTATTAGTTGGTTTAAAGATAGGACCTATAGTAATTTAACTACCAAGATATTCAAACGATTATTTAAACTGCTTTTATATCTTTCACTAAATCATTTTATATCTTTCTAAACAAAGCATATCCTTAAATCTCTGTAAATAGTTTGGTTTGACCCAAACCAGGAAGCTCTGATTATAATTCTGTGTTAAAGACACAGATATTGGATGAAGATATTGGATGAGATTAATTTCCAATTAAAAAAAAAATATATACAATCGTTTTCGATTTTCGCAATAATATTTATTTTTTTAATTTCCCGTTTACAGTTTAATTCCGGTTCCAAATCCTGCTTAGTATGCAGAAATTCGACATATAAAAGTAATAATTATTTAGTAGGTCGGCTTAAAAGTTGTAGGTTTCTTTGAATCTAACGTTTTTATGTCGTGTTTGGTATCATAGCAACCGGTCACATACTGGAGTGCTTTAAGGATTCCATGTCACTATTGCGTGTGTTTTTTATTTTGTATAATTAACTCATTCATGTTTGTGGATTTTTATTATATGAATAACTATTTATATAGTTAGTCATTTGACGCTGATTTTTATTATAATTACGAGACATTATATTTACAACATTTATCGAATTCCTAATTTGAGTCGCTTTTGACAATCTCAAGTCAAAAATTTGACAAGTAACAGATGAAATGTTGTGAAATTTTATCATGTAACTTAGAAAGACTGCAGCTATGGAATATCGAAACTCTTATTCCTATACTATCTCAATGTGGGCTCCCTATCTGCACGTCAAATTAAAATTTTTTAAGTGCATCTATGTGCAGAAAT